TAAAACAGGTTCTTATGTAAAGGGGTCTAAATGGGAAATTTTAGCCTAACATGTTCTTAAAATCTATGTTCTTATACGCGGGTTTTTACTGTACACACACAGAGACGCGCGAGTGCACACACTCGCACGCACGCACACATTGACGCATGCACGAACACACAGCTCTCACGCACGAATATACGCAAATCACGCACGCACGAACGTTGGACTGTCTCCTTCCTTAGATTGATGTCTCTGTCTTGCGATCCGTCCCCGGCGACTGGACATTAGACTTTTGTTCTGAAGTCTGACTTTTAAGCATCGGCGTGAAAGCTATATCATGCAGGCGTGGAAAAAAATTAAAATCTTATACTGACGGAAAATCGCGCAACAATTTTACCGCTTTTCGTACAATTTGTTTTCGGAATCGCGTAGGGAAAATCTCGACGCTTAGTTGGTTAATTGCGTAGCTTAATAAGGTTTAATAGAAGTTACTACGCAAGCTATAAAACACGTTTAAAAAATAACTATGAGCAATAACTTTGCATTGTACGAATAGAGATGAAGATGTAGGTTTCTCGTCAAATTGCGCTTAAAACGTATAATATAAATAAATTTTTGTATTTGTTCCTACTCACGTCGAGCAGGCAGTGAACCACGAATATGAACAGTCCCTGAAAAGCAAATACTAATTCTATTACCAGCACTAACAGTGGCCTCAGTATTCAATGAAATAATCCGTGTGATTGATTCCATGGATGAGCCATTGGATCCTATGGAAACCTAATTTGGTTACATGATGATATTATGGTGAGCCAATGCTGTTAACTGTTAGCAATTGATTGTGAGTGTCGAGATATCATGAATTTATACTCCGCAAGCGTTGCTGAAGAGTGTTGTGCCGGACTAGACTTTAATAACGAGACTTTAACTATACTTATAACAGCGGAGGCTAGTGACGTGGTTATAGCGTCACGTGTCTATTGTCCGAACACCTTTATCTGCTAGACCTTTGCTGTTATTTATTTAGCGGGCGGGATTGTTAGCGGTGGTCATTTTTATATGCCACCCTTAAATATGCATCAAATATACTAACCACGTCCTCTAACAGCGCCCTGACTGGTTTAACCTCATAATGCTACAACGCACAAGGGAAGTGGTTTTAATTATAAACCAGATTTTTCTTAGTATATAGGGCCTATGTGTGTGTGCGTGTGTGCGTGAGTGCGTGCGTGCGTGCGTGCATGCGTGTGTACGCGCGCGTGTGTGTGCTTAGTTTGACAACACCCGAGCCTGCATGTTATATACCTGAATTGAATTTAGAATTACGAATAAATATTGCGAGACTTCGCTCAGGTAATCGATTGACTGTAGAAATCCAAATATCCACGTCACACCGAGAAGAGGTACCAACACGCACAGACTCCGCAACCTCGTTCTGAAACAGCAACGATCGTGTTAGCCTGATGGCGATAGAGATCATCGCTATTGATGGCGGTTGTAAAACGAACGAAGAAGCCTTTAAGATGCAAAAGATGATATCCGCAATTAGTTATCTTAGTAGTTTGAATATATTATATATATTCCTTAATTCGTTTGTTTATGTGTGAATGTAAGTGTGTATTTATATTTTTAGAGATTTTCTTAGAAAGTTGTTTTCTTACCCGACCCTCTTTCTGTTTGTTTTCCTCCTCACGGCTTGAGAATGAAACATTGCTCGGGGGGCAGCAAGGGCGAGCAATACAATGTTTGCCTAAAGGGTCACAGACAAGAAATATATATATAAGAAGGTAGCAAAAAGTTATACGTGTGAAACTTAACGTTAAATCACTGCGATCGAATGAGTTATAATAAAAAATAATCGAAGCTGCAAAAAATATTACGTAAACAACATGCAAACTACAGTTACTCACGCACATCACAGTCCCGACCGGAATTACAAAAGCTAACATGAGCATATTCTGATTGGTTAGCCAGCAATAGGTGTCGCTGCCGTAGCTGTTACTCACGCACATCACAGTCCCGACCGGAATTACAAAAGCTAACATGAGCATATTCTGATTGGTTAGCCAGCAATAGGTGTCGCTGCCGTAGCCTTCGGTGCGCGTGGCTGCAAGCGAGATGACCACTATAACACCAGGAATACCTAAAATAACACACAGACACGCATTTTGAACAAAGATAAAACGAGTCCCAATCATGTATGAAATTTTGTGATAGGTAGTTAAATATAGTGCCTATAAGGACCTTTAAGAAAATTTAGTAAAATTAAAGACGAACATTTTTTCGTTCGTGAATTGCTCACAAAATGCTCGCCCCGATTAGCTCGCAATGTAAGCCGTATTCGGAATGAGCGAGTAATTCGCGAATTATAAACATATTAATCGCGTGGGAGATGCAAACTAAAATGTCAATTTTAATGATTTTTATGCGCACGCGCACACGTACACACACGCGCACACACACGCACACACACGTATGCTTGCACACGCACGCACACATGAACGCGTGCAACAACACCCTCCGCCCCCCCCCACACGTACAGACAACCCCCTCCCTTGGACACTCGGGCGCACGCACACACGCATGACAATAAAACAATACAATACAATACAATACAATACAATACAACACAACACAACACAACCCAACACAACACAACACAGCACAACACAACACAACACAACACAACACAACACAACACAACACAACACAACACAACACAACACAACACAACACAACACAACACAACACAACACA